TAGTGTTAACTCATAGATATTTGAAAGCCAATGACTAATATGCCAAATGTATAAAAGGTCCAATTCTACATGATGAGGAACAATAAAAATATTCTAATGAAATGAGATTTCTCATAATTCAAGAACATTATCTTACCTGGAGGAAATTACTCCATTATTACTTAAAATGATGTCTCTGTTTATTTGCCAATGTATTATGTGATGTAAAATAAATATTTCAACTTAAAAGAGTTCATTATTTCAATATAATTTAGTAAATGCATAATTTCAAATACCCATAAAAATAATCCACAAAGGATTTTTAAATATTCTCTCAAAAAATAATTTACTTCAAGCTTTTACTTATAATACTACATAGTGTAATGTCAATGATGTCTATTAAATAGAAACCATTTAAAAAAATTACTTTGGAACAATTAAGAATATAGTATCTACACAAACAATTATAGTTTGTGTTCATATTTACAATATATTTTTTAGAAATTTCATATAGTTTGAAGTTGCAACATAAATTACACAATAAGGACTGGGAATGTAGCTCAGAGGAAGGCCGTGCTGCTTAGCATGCACAAGGCCCTGGGTTCAATCCCCAGCACTACAAATAAATAGATACGACAGATAGATAAAACTAAAAATTGTACTATAAAAGTTACATAATTACAAAGATACAGTTTAGGGAAAAATGAAACTTTATCAGAGTAATCTCTATCATAAAAGCTTGGGGATTAAGAATACTAGTATCAAATATTTACCAATTACATATCTTTAAGAAAGTATAGATAAAAAGCTAAACTTTAGCTTTGACAATCTTGAATTTGATACTGAGATTTTCAACATTTTTGAAAACTGCAAAAGTTAGGTGGAAATTTATAATTCTGCATTATTTCGATTTTGAAATATGCACAGTCTAATATGACAATGGCTATTTGAGTGTCATTGTCTTTATGTCAATGATTGATGTCTAAGAACTTTGCCCCGTCTATGACCCTACAAAGCTGAGGTTCTGCACCCACTGTACTCTGACTATACACTCTTAAAGATGCCAAAGTACCAGTAATAATAATACCCAACATATTATGACTACTATAATATCCAGTATGTATACAGTATTGTAGGACATTAATCCAATTTATACTGGTTTCAGCAATGGGATGTGACTAGCCTAGAAAAGTTACCTTCTTCAAAATAAGACATATACTTAATACTAGAATAAAGTCTAGAATCCAATCTGATTTTATACTACTGTTCACTTCAGAATTACATGCTGTTTTTGTAATAAATACAATGTATAAACAATTAACAAAAATGTTTACCATAATATGAAAAAGGACATGACATGTCTACAATATAAATGTTGCTTAAAAAATTTAAATGAAAAATACTTAACTGTTAACTCTGCAATTGATATTAAGATATACATATGTGTTGTTAGGGTACAGGTTATGTTATTTTTTTCTTATGTACATATTTTCTACAGTGAAGAACTGCCACCTACAAAGTCAGAAATTGAAAAAAAAATGGAAACATAAATGTGCCATTAAAATCTAACACTTGCATTCCTTTATAGCTAATCTGCAGCATGAGAGCTAGAAAATTAATTTGCTGTTAAGCAGGCATTGTTAAAATATTTCATTACTTAAGTAAAACAACTGCACTATACTTGAGGAAAAAAATCAGGGGTAAATGGGAAGAAAGTATAATCATATGGCTCATCTTATATGCTCTTAAACTGAAAAATCAGAAAGACATCAATAAAATACACTACCCCCTGATCTTCCAATTTTTGCTTTTATAGGAGAAACAGGTTCTTAACAGTAAGTACTAATGAAGCAAAGTGCAACCTCTACCTCTTATCACACTTGCCAATATAGATTTAATCAACAGAATTTGAAACTTTACGCTCTAATTAGCAAAATTTACCTCAGTTTCTAAAGTTCTTTGAATTAATAGAGGTAAGTGGGCTCAGATGTTTTATTACATATAGAGTATGAATATGTTTTCACTTGTGTAGAGTCTACTATACAGAATAAGTATAATTGTTTCCAACTCTCATTTCTGGCAGTTTCATGACAAATTCTCTCTAAAAAATGGTCCAATTAGCTGAGTTGTCCATTGTCTCTGAATGATGTTAGGTTTCATACTCTGGCTTTTCCTCATGTACTTCCTTAGCCAATGTGTCCATCCTCTGTGACTCAGGCGATTTCCACTCCCTCTGAAATATGCTCAACTTAGCAAGTCTCTAACAGCCTCTACTCCCAACTCATGAAACAGGTTAGTACTGCACAATTTCATGCAGAATATTCTCTAGGGATTTCATGTATGTTAACTTTATTCCCTAAACTGAAAATTTCTTAGGGACTTAGATTTAGTTTATCCCTCTTTTGATATGTACAGTGGGAGTTCAGCCACCTACAGAGGATACAAAAGCTGTAAGATTAGCATATAAAAAATCAATCAGTCAAGAACTCTGAAGAAAAGAATTGGAACACTAATAAGGTGGTAGACCCCCTGATTTTGTAATCTTCTTTTTTTCAGAGTTGGGGATTGAACCCAAGGTCCTACACAGTCTACTCAAGTACTCTACTTCTGAGTTACATCCTTAAAACCTTATAGTTGTTTTAAAATCAGAAAACAGCATATAGCAGAAAACTATACGAAAAGTAATACACATCAATTTTGATTATTAAACAGAAGAAATCATAGATGTTTTCCTTAAAAGTAAAGCCTGAGACACAGACATTTAGTATGAAATTTCTGAGAAAGCAGAGCAAGGGAGCGAACAACACAGACAACTTGCAAAGCCAGAAAGTATATACAGACAAGACTGCAGAGCAAGTATTAGGAATCACTGAAAAATATTTTATGTGGATAAAATCCTAGAGGTTCTTTTTGCTAGCAGATAAATACAGAATGAATTAGGTAGAAAAGAGAAAGCAATGCACGTTTTAGAGTGGGGAAGAGACCTATGCAAAGCAGGATGTAAATTAAATCAGTTGCAGTAAACAAAATGGTAGTAAAGCAGGCAGCCTGATTCACTTAATGAGCAGGAAGATGAGAACTGGGAAATTTGGCTTTATTTAACCTAGCTTAACTTGGGTAGATAGCACTTGTCTGTGCCATTATGCCTCCATTTTTCAAATGACACTCAGGTTAGCTCATTTTCTAGCTTTAAACCCACTGACAGTAATTCTGGGATCTTAGAAGCTGGTCGGATAGATGGCTCCTTCAGGACTGCAGCTATGAGGCAAAGCTAGGCGATGGGAAGATTAGCTAAATACAAAAAACTCTAAAAGAGCAACTCTAACAGAGCATGGATTTGAGACACAGGGAACTCAGAGGAAGCAAGGATCACTTTGTGATGTCAAACAGCAATGGGGGTAAAATGTGACACTGGAACAGAGGAGAGGCCGGTCGGGAGAAGAGCTGCTCCACCCCTCTCTGCATATAGGGAAGGCTTAGCTTTTTTGCCCCACTGCTCCATGTGTAATTTCAGAGAGTTGTGATAGACCTCATAGAAGCTGTGATTACCAGCAAAAAATTGAGAAGGACCTTGACTTCTGGTATTAATTTGACTGAAGTGTTTGGTTTTTCATTGATTCCTCTCTATGTGCCCTGAAGTTTCTGTACTGATAACCTCAAAAGCATTCTTCACCATATTTCTATGAATTGACAAATGATCTCCAAATTTAGTAAAACTCACTTTATGCTAGGGAGCAGGGCAGTGATGGGAGGAGGAGGAGACAGTCGAGGAGGAACATCATACTCTTCATTTCCCAGGTAACCATTGGAGAAGACCTGCAAGTAAATCAAATGGTTACTATCAAAGACATTACAATATGATTTATTCAGGAGTCAGAAACACCACAGTGATGATTTAACGTTACCTAAAACAGCAGCAGGTCACATACAATAAAAGATACCATAATTCTTAAACATAATTGAGAGGTAATACTATGATTTGTATAAAGTAAGTATAGAAAATCAAATTAGTAAAACTTCTCAAATGTGATCAGTTTTTATGGAAAAGATAGGGACTGGGTAAAGGAAAAAGCAGCACTGGTATGATTCTTATTTCATTTCTTTCTAAATAAAAGTGTTCTGAATCGTATCTCTTTAGGGTCAAGAGAACAATCTCTGGCTTTCTGCTATAAAAATCTAGGAGTATTACGAGAAATGTTTTTTTGCTTCGAGTTTGAAGCTTCAGGGCTATTGATAACCAGATATTTGTCTGGCTCTCAAAGTAGATAAAATTAAATTTTGGTTCTTGAGTACCACAAACCACAACTCTTAACTTGCTCACATAGATATCAAAGAAAGCCAGTATTTAATCACTAAGAATTAGGAAATTCTGACTTCTAGGTTTCTCAGTCACACTACAGGAACTGTCTGAACAACTGTTCTTTGCTTTTCCAACCATCTGAAATGAGCACAAATTAAAAGGGAGGAAATGAGAGAATCTCTTTGCAAGGGCATCGTCACAAGGACAGAGTGAATACATACTAAGATCCCTAAATGACCACTAGATTTTCATCGCAGCCCTCTTTTGTACCCTCTTATTAATTCATATTTAAAAGGCAGACTGCTAGTGGGGCAGCACTGATGAAATGTAGCTAACAGTCCTAGATAATTCAATCAAGGACCAACCAGTTACTTTTCCTCCTTTACATTCCCAAAATGGTATCGAAGCTTTAACATACAAAAGTGAAAAGGTCACACCCTCACCTATCAAATGGATAAAAATGGCAACAAGTTTAAAGAACACATCTGAAAATTACCAATGTTTGTGTTTCAAAGTTGTAAAATTGCATTTTATAATATTAAAATTTCACTCTAAACACTAGGTCCTAGGCTTCCATTCAATTTCTCTTTTTCAAGTCTCCTCTCATTAAATTCAGTACCAGGACAAAATATTATCTTTAAATAAAATGATTTTTATGATGGTTTTTTGACTATGGGCTAAGTAACAGAATGTAGCAAAGTTTTTTGAACTTTGCCAGAGATGAGAAATTTCCTAACAGATATGAATCATTGCAAAGTTCAATGAAATCTTTCAACTTAAAAAATGCCTTTTAACTGACAAACACTGTATCAAACCACAAATGTTCATTATAATAATGAGCACTTGAAGTCATTCCTAATTGGAGATCTTTGCATGCAACTGCAGTATATACAATGTTAACAGATCTGCAATCAAATCTCCTTAATGTTTCTAATCGCAAATGCATTTAAAATTCATTCTTAAAAATGAAATGTGGATTTTATATGCAGTGATTTGTTTTGGGAAAAAGTACCTAACATAGGCAGATATTTAAAAATTTCAGTAACAATCAAATAGAAGGAAGATATGGAAATAATATTGCAGTGGTTCGAAGATAACAACAAGCCAATCAAAATTTTATAATTGAGATTAAGAACATATCTGAAAAGGAATACCAAAACAAACAAACATCTATTGATATTGAAAATGATTTCAACTCACACATTAGGTAACTGGTGAATAAACATAGTAATAATATACTCAGCACAACCTTTTTATGTATTACCACTAAACTACATAAGGAGAAGTCACACAGGCAATGGAATGTATCATTGATAAAACCACAAAGCACAGTTAATGAGGTAATTCATTCTCTGGAAGGGCAATAAACTAAAGAAATTAAGGACTTGTTCCTAATTTTATGAAACAATATGCTTCAAAGTACAAACAACACATTCTCTAATTGCTTCCTTAATACTGTTATTGATATATAGTACTTAAAAGATTTCTTCTGACTGAAATGTCAGTGTCTCTTCTGAGCCACTCATTTGGTGACTGCCATCTACAGCTAATTCCTTTATTTTCCATCCTTGTAATTATGATCCATCATGGAGAATTCGTGCCACATTGAATATCTTTCAGAACAAGGATGCTTTTAAATTTACTTTATAGCACATTCCTTCAGGTGCTTTATACATGTTAAGGCTCACATGAATACTGACTGCTGCTTGGGTTAGATTTCTTACTACAGGAGGCAGTAACCAATGAAATGTCTTTCCTTTGGTACAACTGGAATAAACTCATTAGCTTACTCCAATACTCTCAGCAATTGTTTGTAATTTAATGGCTGATTTTTCTACTAGCAGTGTCCAACATGCATCCTGGCCCTCTTCCTTTTTTTAGTGAAGAGGAAATTTCTTGGGCATCATATAAAATACATAATATAGTTAATGTACATAAGTAACAACACTTCCTTTATCTTTCCATTTTTTAACATTAAAGGTGGTGGGGTGGGAGGGTAAGCCACAGGTTGGACATGGCTTTAACTATTCTCAAATATGTACTGAGGATTAAAAATATGTCTAATACCATACATGAAATTCATTCATAGTTCTTTCCTAATTAATAGACTGAGACTATGTGAGTGTTCAAATAGCAAAAGATCTCAATGTGCAGGGACTAAAGTGATGATCGTACTTCTGTTCACCCAAAGCAATCATTTACATTTCCTGATAGTGGCTGGACATTATGTCATTCTGAATTCCATGTTCCTATTTCACTCATTTCATTAGACCACACATCATTTTAGCTACCACTTCCTGAAGGGATGAAATACATCACAACTTTATGAACTAAAAATATATATTTTCTTTATGAATTTGAAAAACTTGTTTGCAAATGGTAGAAAACAATAGTTTCTCAAACGTGTGGACTGACAGTAACAACTGAAACAGTTCACACTACAACTTCACGGATGCAACTAGGAAACATCGTCTTGCCCTCTGCCTTCCTAGCTTCCTGTCTCTAAATTACCAGGATTCCTCTGAAAATGCCAATGCCTTAACCTTTTAAAATTCTGGCAATGATCCTATCATTCCTCTGAAGAAGGAAAAAAAAAAAAAGACCTTAAAAGCTCTTTCCTAGGAAATTAAGATAACTTCTTCTAAAATTCAGGGCACTCCCTAATTGGTTTCAACCTATTGTCACACTTTGCCTCACTGGCCTCTTCTCTCTGCCTGTCCCTAATGACCTATATTTTACCCAAAATTGACTTCCGATCACTATACATATTTTTATACCTCCAGACTCCTCCTTCCTGCCATGCCTACAAAAACAACAGCTATTGATCTTTAAATATCTATTACCACTTACCCTCTTGCATAAAGCTTTCTTTATTCCTTTTTCCATCCTGGCTTTCAGAATTTTTCTTTCTGGGGATTATACATATTCTCTGGATAATTCTCATACACTTGCCTCTTAAATTAATCACATGCCTGTCTCATCCTCACTAAACTCTGCTTTATTCATACTTGTCTTCCCTATAGTGTCCCGAGCATTCTCAGGACTGACATACCTGAATTAGGTTGAGGGAATAAGAATACATTTATTAGAAGTTGAGGTTAGTGGAAGAAGTGCCATCTGGGTTATTCTAGATTTATTGTACATCTAGGTTATTCTAGATCTTTTTTTTTTTTTTTTTGAACCAGCAATCGAACTCGGGTCCTTCCGCTTGTGAGGCAGGCGGCGGAACCACTAAGCTAAATCCCTGGCTGGTTATTCTAGATCTTAATTTTGGTGTTTGAAATACACTCCTATGAGTCAGATATTATCTTAAAAAACTGAAGGTTAGAACATCTGGAATATCTGAAATATAGAGAAAACAAATCTGTGAAAACTTTATCACTATTAAGATTTTTGATTTTATAAAACTCCAAATAAAAATCCTTCCCTACCTATGTATGTAACCCTCCCCAACAATACACTATCCAAAAAGTATCCTTGTAGTTTGTCCTTCACCAGCAGACTGGAGGTAAAACCAGTGTAAACAGAACTTTTTTTTTTGGTACTGGGGATCACAAGACTTATTTTTTGAAAGACAGTGCTTGAGATTCATAGATAAGTTTAAGGTCATTCATGTAAACACGTGCCTCTTCACCACAAGTGCAAAAGCCACAATTTCAGAAAGGGAGATCATGTGACCTACTTATCTAGCAGCATCTTCAAAAGATTATTATACATAAGGTCATGTTGAAAACAATGTCACTGTAAGTAACATGACAAGTTAAAGATAATTTTTTATCACATAAGGAACAGCAGCAATATCTTTAATCTCTCAAACAGACCAATTAATGATAGATGAGTGCAATGTTTATATCTAGAAGTAAATAATTTTCAAGTTTTTACTTATATTTTAAAACATTTTCGTGTAAATATTTTCACCTCAAACAAACAACAGTAATATCTACCCAACTAGGCATTTACTAAGTTACAGATTTGAAATGTGGCTACAATCTGAGAATTTCAGAGAATGGAAACACTGTTATAAGAAAGAAAGTTCTTAGCAGTATAAGAAGATAAACCTGGTGATTCTTAGCTAATAGCTTCATACTGAAATTAAGGTATCACTTTAGCTAGCTTTTGATTATGCTAGGTGGGAGAGGAAAGGGAAAAGGGAGTAAATGAGCATCATGGAAAATATACAACTTCATTTTAACTATGAATTAGGGGTCTGCCCGTGAAAGCTCTCTACAATTAGCAAATGGAGTAATTAGAATTTAATTTGTTCTTGTTTCTCCCGTCTTAGTGAAGATGTAAATGAAAAAGGCCAGTGTCCTAGAGGATGATGGGAGCTGGCATTCAAAAGGCAGACAATGGAGGGGGCAAGGCTTCACCCCATTTATTGGATGTGTAGTTTCATAAATTCCTGTTACATTATCCCATGCTCATTTCATTTTTATTTAATCTTTTAGAACTTATCTAAGTGTTCTTTAAAGTCAAAACATGATATTTAACATAAAGTGTTACTTCTAATGCAACAACTAAACCTAGGATAGTAACAACAGCACTTTTACTATTTGCCCAAAAAGGACATTTGCTTATATTTAAGATGGTCTATATAAAGATAATAAATCAGCCTCTACACAGCTAAATCTCCACATCCTCTGCTTCTATAATTAAAACAAAGCAACAAAGTACACATTATGAATGAAGGTTGAAAAGATTGTTAGCATTTACAATTTTCACTAAAAATATCAGTTTTTAAAAAACCAAAATCATCTCCCATTCCTCTTCATCTTTTCTTCTTTACTTATTATACGTGACCCACTGTCTAAAACTAATACTCTTCAAAAGAGAAACAATACATATTTTAAACAGGAAAATCGTATTTTTTCATCAGCTAAAGACAGTGTTGCCAAGATAACATCGAAAACGTGGGTGTTTGCACCATCATGGGCACCTCTTAACCCCTTTTGACCAAGCCACTACCAACCCCAACTCCAGCAGATATCCATCCTTTTAACTCTATCATCGGTTTCAGCAGTATAACACTAGCAACCAAGTTACTGCGTGCTTACCAAGGATGCACGAGAAACTATGCTAAGAGGAGAGAGGAAAAGAGAAGTGATTTGTAAAGACAATTTTGAATGAAAACATCAGCTGTTACAACTTATTCCGATATCCCATGTCTGACAGTTATTTTGGTCTTATTCACAATAAAGAGATATGGTAAGTTAAGCGAGTAGAGGCTCATCATTCTTGTGGATACCAGATATCAACAGTCCTCCGTTATATAAAGTAAGGAAAATAAATGGGGTTACTGGTAGGTGAAGATGAAGTAAGTTGCTCACATTCACAAAACCAGTAAATTTCAGAGTGAGAAATGAAGCCCGGGTCTAATCCCGGAGGCTGGTAACAAACCCCAGCCCAGAAACACAAGAACCAGAGCTATAGGATCAATCCCAAGTGGGCTCAGTGTTGTGTCAGCTGTCACCTAAAGCCATCTCATGTTTCCTGACAACAAAATGAGAAGGGGAATGTGGCTTTTTCTACTTTATGTAAATTGTGATATTCTCCATGGTCTATTAAAGTAGAACTGCTTTTCCCCCATAAAGTTAGTAAAGGCAGACACATAGTCTATTTTACAGCATTAAATGCATTAACTGTATATAAATCCTTCTTTATAACTTAATTGAGAAATGAAGCAACTAAGTTAAAATAGGTATCTTAGAAGAAGTCTAATTTAGTTGAAAAGCCAATTCTAGTTGTAATACCAAATTAACTTTCAGGATAGAAGCATTACAATATTAATACATACTATACATCAGATTAGACATTAAGAAGTCTTAATGGGGATAATATAGAATATGACTTTAGTTAATAAAATAAAATCCATACATATAAGAAATTGTCATCCCAATTTTTGAAACGATAATATTCCTGTAAAAAATTATCAGCCAGTATTCTAGAGCTTACAAGGGCAGCTATATATTAACAATAATTTATTATTACATATTTGCTAACAGAACCCTGAATCAGAGGCCTTTAATGCCCTATGATAGTCATAATATTTTATTTTTATATTTTATTTTATTTTTTTTGGTACTGGGGATCGAACTTGGGTCCTAGCGCTTACAAGGCAGGTGGCAGAAACACTGAGCTAAATCCCCTGCTCCAATCATAATATTTTAAGTATTTCTGAAGTTCACTCAGAAAATGCAAGGTGTGATTTGAAAAAGAATTGGGTGAATTCTGCTGAGTGCCATCCAATGGAAAGGCAGTGATCTTTGATATGAGAAGCAGCACTTCTAACAGGGTGAGACAGGTTTCAACTTGTTCGGTACAGCAAATCGTCTGTGTGCTTTAAAACGTGCAGTAAATCATGGATCACAAACCCAGTAAATCATGGATCACAAATCCATTTCTTTGGAGTTGTGTGATCCTGCCAGATCTAGATTCTAGATCTAGATTTCTGCCTGATCAGATTCTAGCTTTTTAAGAAATATCATCATGGGAGATGAAACTTGGGTCTATGGTATGATCCTGAGAGTTCAGAATTCTCTATGGAAATCACCCAGTTCTCCTTGTGCAAATAAAATGCATAAATCAAGATCCAACATCAACATGATAACTGTGTTTTTTTACCTCAATGGAACTGTGAGAGTTGAGTCTGTACCCAGTAACACTATGGTGAACTCTGAATATTATAAGGGCCTATTATCTCAAAGAGACATGTGTAGAAAACTTCCTGAGAAATGGGCAGTTTCATCTTCCATTATAAAAATGCTGTGTCACACATCACTTCTGGCAGGGCAATTTCTAGCAAATAAAAACTTTATGGTGTATCCTCATCCACCTTATTCACTAGATCTGGCACTGTGACTTCTGGCCCTTCCCCCAGTAAATGTTTTGAATAGATTCAGGACATCAAGGCAACCAAGACGGTTCAACTAAAGACACGAAAAAGGACTTCATAAAGTGGCAACATGAAGGGGTGTCTGTTCAAAGCAAGGGGGAGTATTTTGAGGGGAATTAATGGCAATGTGTCTTTTATTGTAATAATATGTTTTAAATGTAAACACTGTGTTTTGATCACATCCCATATCCTGTACATGCTGCTAAAGTGTAATCAGTCTGTTCATGTTAGAGCTTGTTTCTAAGCTCTATTCCAGTGTGATCATGTAGCAATGAACAGAGGCTGAAGGAGAAAAGGCTTTTAAAAAAGCAAATCCTTCCAGTCAGGAGTCTAGGTTCTGGAAAAATTCTTTTGCGGACAGGCTCTCCATTTTTAGAGAACATTATCAAATTGCTTTTTTACTTTCTTCTCTTACATTTACAATCATATTTGGGTGACCATCAGGAAACTTTTAGAGATTCTCATATTTGTAGTAGATGAGAATGATGGTACCAAGGTGGATCACTGGCAGTCAGAGCAAACCTACCCTTCTTTCCTTGTTTGGAATGCTGCATTGGAGGGTTCCACTCGTCCTATCTGGCTGCCCTCGAATATCACTGATATATTGTTATATTGATATTTTCATTATCACAACTGGGCGCGCGCGCACAAACACACACACACACACACACACACACACACACAGAGTACTTTGATCCCTGCATGTTATGAGAGTAACTGACCAACTCCAGATAATACCTCCTAAAATAACCATTTAAGAGCAATATAGATGGGATCACTTTAATATTACAATTTTCAAAACAGGAAAAACCTCCTGAAGTAGCGCGGGAAGCTAATGGTCTGACTGCACAGACAAAAACATGAAAGCAAACATCGGAAATTATTACAGTACAACACATATTTGCCTAGGGGCCTATAAGGACCTTTAAATTCCAACTTTTACACATAAATAATAGTGAAGCTTCAAGTCTGAACTTAAGCTTGAGAATCTCAGTTTCAAGAGGAAACTTAGTAAGAGTGAAGACAAGTTTTGTAACTTTTTTGTTGTTGCTGTTTTTGATTTTTTGAGATAGGGTCTGGCTAGGTTGTTCAGACTGGCCTTGAACTCACTATGTAACCCAGGTTGACCTCAAACTGGGGTGATCCTCCTCCCTCAGCCTCCTGAGTGTCAAGATCACAGGTGTGTGACACCATGCCTGGCCAAGTTTTGTAATTTTTAAGTATGTGAGTTCATTTAAGATCCCTGCCTAAAGTATAACTGTCTTAGGCAACTAATTACAAAACTGATTACACACACACACACACACACACACACACAAACACAGATAAATACAACTTTTTCCAATTTTGATAGAACAGGGAGAATTTAAAAAATAGCATGCTGATTCTACCATCAAATTATTCAGTTATTAATGGAACAACTCTTTGGCAGATGAAATAAAGAAAGTGAGATAAATCTCTGGCAAACTGTCTAGCATCTACATATTAAAATTAAATCATTACTTAGAAGCTTCTTACTAACTTCTTTTAAGTTCAAGTTTTAATGAGCTTCTAATTATTTATAACTTAAGAGATAATTAAAGACCAGAGGAAGTGCCATACTGGACTGTAGGGGGGGGGCACTGCCCAGCCTTTTAAGCTACCTCCTATCAGAAGAGTTGATAAGCAGGCTCCAGCTGCTCCGTGAATTTCTTACCTTGGCTCCTTCTGAAGGCAAATCATGGCGTCTGTGTTTCCTCAGAAACACTGGGTCAGAGCCCATTCTACCGTGCCTCCCATTTACATTTGAGCTGGCTGTGATTCCGGGCTTCGGGGAGCCATCCCCTAGGATGCGACATCCAATAGACGGATTGGTCCCAAACATATCCCTGGGGCACCAAGCTTCAAGAGGCATAGGCTGGTCCCTGGAAGGCACACTCTCCATGTGCTGCAAGTGTCGGCTCAGTCTGTTTTCAGGCGGGATTGGGGGAGGTCGCTCAGGAGGTGGGGGTGGCTCTCTTAAGGGAGGTGGTGGTGCTGGGAGTGGCTTATCTTGTTTTCTCACCATGCAAGGAGAAGACTGAAGAAGAGAAAATACAAAACAAAACCAACTAAAAGTTGCACTGTGCACTGAGGATTCCACACCAATATATTAATGTACTTTCTAAGCCATAATGGAGCATTATTAGATTTCTATGTCATCTTTGAATAAGCTTCTTTTTATAACTAATGAAAAGTTTAAGACATTAATGAAAAATTTACATAAATATATTTCATTAGTATTTTTGTAGGAGTGAACGTGTAAATGCAAATGCCGTTATATAAATTATACAGAAAAAAACAGAAAACCAAAATTAAATAACTGACTTTAAAATATACCAATAATTAATTTTTTGCACATTTCCTTGATTTAGTAGAGACTGAAGAAATACATGAAAGTTGTTGCCACTGCTTTACTTTTTAAAATAGAAACTAGATTTGTAATAATTCTGGAAGATTTTTAAAATTTTCATATTCTTTATTACAGTACAGTAGACAGGTAAGGAGAAATTTTTTTTTTTTTTTTTTTTTGGTACCGGGGATTGAACTTGGGTCCTTGCGCTTGCGCAGCAGGCAGCGAAGGAGAAATTTTATTCTGATTCTTTATTAGTCATTACAAGAATAGAGAAAAATAACAATACAGCAGCATTATTTACAGAACTACATGAATTTTATGAATTCTTTAAAAAGTCAATTTACTTTTTACATGGAAATATGAAAATATGGATTTCTAAAGTGAATCTGTGTACCTTTCATAGCTCATGTGTATGTGTGTGGCACTGGGGAGTGAACCGGGGCCTTCATACTAAGTTACATCCCCAGCCCTTTTTACTGTTTTAAGACAGTCTTCCTAAGTCACTAAGTGGCGCAAGCTAGGCCCAAATTTACAATCCTACTGCTTAGCCTCCTAGATTACAAGCATACACCACCATGCTGCTGAGCTAGCTTTATTTTTATTTATATGGTTCAGCTGATGAATGATTTGTGCTTTTAGTACTAGGAAAAATCAGAGAAAAAGGAATCTATTGTACGTTTATATAATTCTAAGTCCCATCCTAGTAAGTACTCATATGGGCTTAAAATCAATTTAACTGTAAGGTAGGAATACCAAATACTACTAAAAATATTGTACTTCCTACTAATTTTAGACTATAAAGCATATTACCAAATGGAATTTGCTCTTAATATTTAATAAAGCAAAATATTAAATATGCCCTTATTATCAAATTTAGAAAAAGGGATACACATAAAACTAAAATAGACTGTGGGCTTAAATTTAGAGTTAGAATTATGTCTTTAATTTTTTTTACGTCTTTAATATTAAACAGGAATATAATTACTTTGCAAATATTGTAATTCCTTGTAATTAATTCCTCTAGGTATAAAAAGTGCATATAATTCTCCCTTGTGAGTCACCTTGAAACATGGGTGATAATTTATCATACCTTAAGCCCTTATGCAAATATACTCCCATTACATTTTTCTTGTCGTGACATTATGAAAATGAGTGTAAAATATCATTTGATAACAGCATGCAAATTATTTTAATGCATATAATGACCTTTTAAATACATTTTACACAATGACTACATGTATACTGCTATTTATTTTAACAAATCAGGAAACTACAGATGTGCTCTTTCTGAAGAATTATGCAACTTTTATAAAAATGAAGAACATGATAGCTGGATCACTATAAAAAATGATAAACCCATCAAAGTTGATCATAAACAACTAAAATACACAAGGAATTGAGTAATGTAACTTAAAAGAACCTGGGCAACTAATAACTGTCACATATGGTGTTTCTAATAAAATTAATTTACCTTTGGTGAACTGGTTGGGCTGCCACAGGGAGAGCGAACTATGCCTTTCTGAATCAGATCCAGGCGAGGAGGCACGGGTGGCAGGCTGAGGTGTGGGATCTGGAGCGGGTCTTGCTGGGGCTTTCTTCTCTGGGCAAGGGGAGAGGATCCTGGTGATGTGACTGGTGAGTTCTGCCGGTCAGCGCACTAGAATAAAAAATAAGAAAGATGTTGCTGTCATTTAATGTGTACAGTGTATGTCTTTCAGTTCTTAAGAAGGTGCCCAGTATGGGTAAGGGTCTGCTATTGTACATTTATGAAAATAAATTGTAATATATGCAGGGAGCTCACGTTATCCTTCAAGGATGGGATTATGAAAAGATCGAGAGGTTTCTACTACACATTGCTGAAAGGGACTAGGGAAGAAAAATAGCAAAGTGTAATGCACACAGTCAAATGCAGACATTTTGCAAGAAGTTGGTCTATATTTTATGAGGAGACTAGGAATATTCAATGCTTTTGCTCTTATCTAGATCACACTGAGCATTCTAAGATTTAGAAATTGCTTTGATCTGTATGAAATATGTATCTAGTGCATACTGTTTTCTTATAAACCAATTAAATCAGCATTTTAAAAATAACTATATTTAAAATAAATAAGTTTAAGATTTTTCTTAAATCTTCATATGGAAAATAAATCTTCAAGTTCAATCTTTTTCCTTGAAAACAAGTCTAAGAAAGGATGTAATTCTGCTAAAAACTGACATGTTCCTATGCTACTGTAAGTTTTCCACCTTGACTGGTAGATAAAATAGCATCAAAAAGCTAGTAAAAAGAACTTGGATTTACGTATATGCAACACCTCTCAATTTGGAAGTTTTGGTTTGTGTATGTGTTATAACATACATAACCTGATTGCTATTTGGTATAAAAGCCTTACTAGGACAAATGACATTGTTCCGAAATACCAGCCAGTTTCCATTTCAAGGGTAAGTTATTAGCTCTTTGAAGACTAGGCTTGGTTTTTATAACTTACTACATTAATCTATCAGACTTTGATTGCTTGCGCTCAAGTCATTGCCTCCTAACATTACTCATCTTTATAAAAAGTAGTTGACATTTTAACATGACAATTACATTATAACATGACAATTGAATTTGAATTCCAGCAATATTGTCAAATATTCAGCCATTCTGTCTTTATCTGAGATGCAGTAGTAACTTCTGTTCACATCTATATTATGTTAATACTTTTTCTTAATTAACTAAAATCTGTAATTTATAAAGATTTTCTTCCTTTTTTTAACCTAATGTTTATTTTGTGCTCCAGGACTGCATCTATGGTAATAAATTCGTTTTAGTCATCATTTCCCCTTAGTTTCCTCTTAGCTCTCACAATTTCTTATACACTCGTTATTTCTTATAACCTTGTCAGCTTTTGGAGTATGGGGGACATATTCTATAAAATGTCTCCTTATGGGCATTTGTGTGATATTTCTCTATGTTTAGGCTGGGACAGTAAATTTTTTGGAAGAGGAACACAAGAGTGAACTGCTCTTTATACCACATTATATCAAGCGTCCACTTTATGAACATGATTTATCACTGCTGATGTTTACACTGATCCATCTGCCTGGGGTGTTATTGTTTATTAGGTTTCTTTACTGTCAAGTTTCTTTTTCTCTTCCTTTGCATGGTATAATCTTTGTAAAGAAATCACTGTACAACCCATATTTAAGAAGCAAGGAGTTACACTCCCCCTTGTAAAGGCTTTTAAGAATGTTCGTACTACGAGGTATATATATTTTTAAAAAGCATTATAGTCAAAGGGGTACCTGTACTGCCATATTTCTTGCAGCACTATTCACAATAGCTAGGACATGAAACAAAGTGTCTATCAACAAATGAATGGTAAAGAAAATAGTATAATACAAAATGGCATATTATTCAGCCATAATATATAAGGCAATCCTTTCATTTGTATGAACATGGATAGGACATTATTTAAACAAAATAATGGACACAAAAGAGAAATATCCTGTATATTCCTAATCCCATAAAGAAGTTTAAAGAAGTTGATCTCACATAAAGTATGACATAGAATAGTGGTCTTTAGAGGCTAGGAAGGGTACGGGACAGAAAGAGTTGGGTAATAGGTACCAAGATACAGTTAATAAAAGGAATTAGTTCTAGGGTTCTGAAGCACAGTAGGGTACAAAGTCTACAATAATTATATATTCCAGAATAACTAGAAGAGACTAATTCCAGGTTTGCCAACAAATATAAATTACAAATGTCTGAGGATATGGAAATGCTAATTACCTTGATTTGATAATTGCGTATTAAATAAATGTACTGAATTATCATCCTATACTCCACAAGTATATACAAATATTACCAATTAATTTTAAAAGCAAAAGAGAAATGAACAGATTTCAGTGGCCAAATAGAAGCTTCTACCTCAAACATGCCTGACAAATGCCTCAATGGCATGTCATTACTAAAAAACTGTCTTTCTCACAATTGGTGCCAAATTACTTGAAGTAGTTAAATAAAATCAGACAAAATTTTACACTACATTTTTAAGAATCATCTCTTAGTAATCTCATGATTCTCCTTCATCTAGCTCTTAGCTTGCTATGATAAGTTTAAAATACTTTTTCTATTATTACCAAACTGAAAAAGTTGAATCTCAAATCCTAAACTGTTTTAATGCAAGCCAATCATTAACAAATTAGAATTTTATCCAAAATGTTGCAGGGCTTCATACAGTCATAAATTTGAACCTTCTGGAGCTACATCAGTCCTCAAATTGTCAGAGACAGAAGAGAAAGGCTTTGTGATGTGAAGTCACAGAGTGCAGCACTACAGACTAGGGAGTGTCACAGGTTATCTGACCCTCCACCATTCCCAATAAAATACACTACGTACCCTGAGAACTAGCAGAACAGTTACTTATTAAAAATGTTCTGTTGATCTGGGTACTCTCCTTTATAAAGAAAATCAAAAACTCTTCTTGAGTAAAAAGCCCCAAAACTATTTTTATGTTAACAAAGAATGCACAGGACTTTTTTGTTACTTGTAGAGATACTCTCAAACTGCAAAGAATGCTTAACAGGACCTAAACTCTTCCAAGAAGTTTTCCTCTGCAAGTATTTTTCCACTTTCCTCATTATCTGAAACAGGACACTGAATTCTGACAGAGCCAACAGCTGGCACTGCCATTAAAGCTTGACATTTGCCCCACATTGGGTCAATTACTCATATTTAAGCAGTTACCATATTTAATATTATACTGAAAGAGTATAATAAAAATGCTAGAACAGATATGATAATGAATGAGTGTGGTAATGTAACAACCTTGAACTTTTAGACACTCAAGACCAGAAGATGCTCTGAAATTTTGTGAACGTAACTGGAAATTCCTTAGCACAATTCATATTGTCTTAAATGATTGTACCTCCTGAAAAAGTCATTTTCAACAATTACAGTATCTCTAAGTTGGCTTAGTTAGAATTTTATGAAAGGAATACTTACACAACGGACAAAAATTATCTTTATTGATAAATGGAATAAATTCAGCATAACATTAATTTTCCTGAGTTCTAAGTTATAATAAAATTCTCATTCAAGAGTGTATATTTACCACTGTCCTGATGGAAAAGCATTATTTGCTGAGCCTTTTGCTATTCTTAAAAGCAACTCTATAGTTAAGAGTATAAAACCTGTGCAATAACTTTTATTACTGACAAAATTCAAACACCAAGAAAATTTATAAACATTAGCAGACAATTTACACATATAGGGTTATTTTTAATAGACTTGAATAACCACAAATTACATCTTTCTGTCCTTCTTATTTGAAAATTTTAAAGAGAAAAGAAACCTAGTACAATGTCAAGCCAGCCCATATAATTAAGTTCTTATGATACAGGGCATACGATATATAGATCTCCAAATAATATAAGGGAAATATCATAGCTCCCAACCTGCCAGACGTCCAAAACACTGAGTTCATGTTCTTGAAAGTCAAAGAAGGAATTCTAGGAACAACAGAGGTTAAGAATAGGAAGAATTTATTGAGAGAAAGACACCTTCTAAGAGACAGAGGGGGTCCAGAAAGGGGGATGCCTGCCCATCCTGCTTCTCAAGGGTATTTTATTGAGCAAAGCCAGGTCAGGTGGGTTCAAGGCGGGATAAAACCATAGTCAACTAGTAAGATTACAAATCACTTGAGTAGTATTGAGCCAATGGGAAATCACAAGTAGGTATGAGGCAGGATAAAACTATGGTCAACCAATAAGATTATAACAAGTATAGTCACTTAGGTAATATTGATTAAATGGGGATCAAATGGGGAAGCAAATCATACAGCAAGCATACATGGAAGGAACAAGGATTCTCCAGGAAGGAAAGGGCTAGGGAGGTTTTGGGCTCCATATGAGGTGATTGATGCCTATTGAGAATATCAACCACTGCTGTTCATCCCTGGGGAAGTGTGTGAGTATAGTTGGTCCTCTTTTTCTTGAAGCCTGGCCTTCAGTGAATGAGCCTCTGGCCACAACTGTCTTCTGTGCTGAGGGCCCAGCCCTGTCTAACTGCCTGGAATATTTATAACTAACTTAGCTGTCTACAATACTAGAATATTAAAAATTCATCACATCAAGATTTACCAGGTCTCTTTAAAGAAAAGAATAAGTTTGACCTTTTTTATTCCTAAAAAAGGAACAAAGATAGCAACTATTTCTTCTTTACTCGGATCTTTATTAGCATTTTAAGGGAATTTGATTCTAGAGTAACAGAATTTTTCTGATGCAGGCTGTCTTCAGGTAAGAGGGATGCTAACAAAACTTACCTTGATATCGGCCCTAAAGTGGCTCCACAATCAGCTACTTCCTCAATCCTCTCAGCCTCCTCCTTTCACAGTTCTTAGCGCCACCCTGAAGTCATTCAGGCCAACATGATAATGGTATTTGTTGGAGAAAAATAAGCACCACCAATGAATATGGAAATAATCTTTGGCTCAATTTTAAATTCTAAGACTGAAATAGGCTAATTTGGCCATTACTGATTTGTTCAGTATTCCTTTCAAGCACTATCATCTCCATTCTGTATAAAAATGCAGACTTAATGCATGAGTATGTAACAGATAGAGCAGAAGAGTAGAAAAGCATTTGTTTCAATTTTAACAACTCATGGGTAGAATT